TGCTTCGTTTTTTTTAGGTTTTATTTATGTCATAATATAATAGTACTTGTGAGTTGCCTCACATCGTTTATAGGAAAAATAGACTCAACTTATAGGACTAGTGGGTTACTCCTCCTTTTAGCAAAAGGTTATTGGGCTACTACTCCTTTTAGCAATTGGTTTTGGGATGAAGTGTCACTTGAACTGCATCTGGGTTTTTTCCTGTCACGGAACATTTCATCTGCGTGTGATTGCACCCGTTCTACATCTTATTCTTACAATTTACAATAAAATTACTCCGTACACCACACGATACCTTTTGTTTTGTTACATTATTAAAGCGCATGAATAATGGACGTGATACATAATTTATATTATAGTGTGATTTTAAACTATACTTTCTCTTTTTTAATTGTATGGTCTATTCCATTTTTTTCATTATTATTTTCTATTAATCAAAGACAAGATGTACATTATATAATGAACCGTCTCAAATATATTAAAAATTGAAATACAATGTTTAAAATATTAATATTTAAAAATCATGATGAAAAAGATTGGATGGAAATTTGTTTGGTCATCAGAGAGGATATGGGTAAGCTCCATTGTTGAAACATCAAAATCAGAAAAAACAGAATACGAAAGGCATTGATTTTCTTAATATGAACAAAATAAAATCTGCAAAATGTTGTATTGATAGATAGTTGTTGCATGCGGATTACAATGCTCATACACACACACACACACACACACACACATATATATATATATATATATATATATAAGTGGACAACAATAAACCTAGAAAGGATAAGGATAGGTAAAATGAAATTATCCAGGTAAAAAGGTACAAGGTAAAAATTCAAAAATAGGATGAGTTGTCTTTTGTCTTTGCATGGAGGAGTTTGGCTTTGCATGGTGGTGCACATGCTCCTGATTCTTCATAAGCCAACATATTTGAACTATATTTATCATCCCCTCAATTTTAGCGTGGATTTTGGAACAACATTGAGTTTGTTCCTAAGTCGGGCATAAAATTAGCTTTCCAAAGGTTTGGTGAATAGATCAACTTGATCTATAGCTGGAACATGCTGAAACTTAATGAGGCTGTGATTGACCTTCTCCCTGATGAAATGTAGGTCAAATTCAAAATGCTTTGTCCTAGAATGGAAGACCGGGTTGCGTGACAAAGATACTGCCCCAAGGTTGTCATTCCAAATGGTGAATGGTTGTTTAGGATAGAGACCAAGTTCAGTGAGTAAGGATTTGATCCACATAACTTCTCATGTAACCCCTGCAATTCTTCTGTACTCGGCTTCAGTTCTAGAACGAGAAACAACACCTTGTTTTTTAGAACTCCAAGAAAACAAGTTATCTCCAAGATACACGCACTGTCCTGATGTGGATTTCCTGTCATCAACATAAATTTTCCAAACTGCATCTGCAAATGCCTTTTAATGTAAGGTTGTTGGAACTAAATGATAAACCATGAGATAATGTACCAGTCAAGTATCTCAGAACTCTCCTCAAGGCTTTCCAATGAGTAGTTAGGGGAAGCTGCATATACTGACTCAGTTTATTCACACTATAAGTGATGTCTGGCCTTGTAAGTGTAGCATATTGCAAGAACCCTAAAATTCTTCTGAAGTTTGTGGGGTTAGGTATAGGATCACCTTGATGTTTTGACATAGGAGAATTAGTGCACATAGGAGAGCTCAATCCCTTTGCAGAGGTCATGCTAGCTTGAGGAGTTCTGAATGTACTTTTTAAGGTTCAAGAAAACACCACTTGAAGTTTGAAGAACTTCAATGCCAAAGAAATAATGAAGATTTCCAAGGTCTTTAAGGGGAAATATGTTGTTCAGAGATTGAATGAAATAAGATATGGCAGTGTTGGAGTTCCCAGTGACTATAATGTCATCTACATAGGTAAGAACAAGGGCATAATTTCAAAATGGGTCCTATAATTTAGCCATTTTTTAAAAAACCACCCCGTCATTGGCCACTTTCATTCTTGGTCCTATAAATTATCCATTTAATCAAATTTGGTCCTATAATTTGACATTTTGGTCCTTTTGTAATCTCATTTTAATACATATTCTAGATAAAAAGGACCAAATTTGATTAAAATGTCAAATTATAGGACCAAGTTTGAAAGTGGCCAATGGCGGGGTGGTTTTTTAGAAAGTGGCCAAATTATAGGACCAATTTTGAAATTATGCCTAAGAACAAGTAAACAAGAGTCTTTGTCCTTTCTGTAGTAGAGGGAGTTATCAGCAATAGAATTCTTAAAACCAAAGGACTTCAACACTTGAGCAAGATTGTAATTCAAGGCTCTTGAAGCCTGCTTGAGGCCATATAGGGATTTGCTGAGTTTGCAGACTAAAGGATTGCCATTCATGTCTGTGTTCTCAAAGCCAGGAACTTGCTCCATGTAGATTTCAGTATCAATATCACCATTAAGAAAGGCATTGCCAATGTCTAGTTGTTTAATGTGGCACTGATTATCTAATGCCAAAGACAAAATCACTCTGAAAGTTGATGGTTTCATGACTGGACTGTAGGTCTCAGTATAGTCTAAACCAGCTAGTTGTGTGAAACTTCTAGCAACAAGTCTTGCATTATATCTTGTTATGCTGCCGTCAAAGTGTTTCGTCACTTTGTAAATCCATTTGCAGCTGACAATCCCTTTATCTATTGGTAAGGGAACATGGGTCCAAGTATTATTTTTCATCAAGGCATTGAACTCTTTTTCCATTGCTTCTCTCCAATGTGGAGAGTTTTGAGCTTCAATGAAGGTTTGTGGTTCAATATTGTCCTATAAAGCAGCTAAATAAGTTTTAGGTTTCAAGTTATCTGTTTTTGCTCTAGTAACCATTCCATGATGAACTGTAACAACTTTAGAATTATCATTAGTGGTAACGTCAGGAACTAAAGATGTCTCAATTGGCAAATCTACAAAAAGTTCACATTCTGAATGATGATCATTAGAGCTAATTGTGAGAGGCGTGTGATGAGAAGATGTGGTAGTAGGAGTAGGTACTGAGGGAATAAGTTGAAGAGTATTATTAGGAGGAGGTAGAATGGTATATCAGGGGGTGAAAGAGGGTTAGTGTTATAATTTGGAAATGTAGGAATATGGCCAGAGGGAAAAGATTGAATTGGTTGACTGGGAGGAGAAGAATGAGTTGTTTGAGATGAATTTTGAAATAGGAAAATGTAACACCCCGAATTTTATTAATAAAGGAAAATACTAGCTTTTAATTTAAGCTAGCCTTTGTTAATAAATAATCATGTTTATGTCCAAGTTCAAGTTATTCAGCTAGTTATATTCCAAGTTCAACTATTAGTCGATACGTTATTCGGTTTGATTATCCCAGTAACCGAATGAGTTTTCAGATTTAGTTCCGATTCATTTAATTGATTAATAAATTCGGAATTAATAAGTTAAGTTGACGAATTATTCGAAATATATAAATATTCGAATTAATCGTCCAAGTCATAAATATTCGAATTAATTTTTGAATATCAAGTTTATGTTCGAAAT